TATTTTTAGTGTGTCAACAAAAATAAAGGCCAAAAAGGACAATTTTTAGAAGAGAAACAAATGCTAGAAATTGTTAAAAAATGATGGTGCCAATTTTAACAATGTGAAGGTCATGACTCATGAATATATTTACATTTGTTTAACAAGTTACCATATCACATATAACACAGAGGATGAAGTAGTTATTATCTTTTCTTGGGTAAAATACATAGCAGATATCACAAATATTACATGATTAACATTATTTCACAAACAACATAGGTAGATGAAAAATACTTACTTCAGCAGCCAAAAGGGGGTCGAGGTTGTAATCAATTCTTGGGTTAGCAGCAAGTTTCATAGACAAAATAAACCATTTTGAGACGGTTCGTTTCAGTTTTGTGCGGTTTCTAAAAATCGAAATTTAAAATAAATAATTTTGAAACGGTTTGGTTCGATTTGATGGAAAAATAAAAATCGTGGGTCCTTGTGGATCTAAACCAACAGTTTCAAACCAATACGTTCGGTTCGATTTGCAGTTTTGCAATTTTCTTATGCAGCCCTAAATCACATCATTTCTCTTTTAATTAAATATATCGCTTAATGTCACATAAACTTTTGCTCTAACACCACTAGTGATAAGTATCATTATTGTTTTGAAATATTCCATTCATAGAAAAAACTTGTTTTCATTTTCACATAGATCAAGAAAATATAATTGAAAATATAAATTTCACTTATATTTTTCCTAATATACATTCACATTAAATAATAATTTTAATAGGGAGAGCTCATATTTTGTTGATAACAAGACATATTAAAAAAAAATAAAAAATCAACTATACTTTCAATTAGAAAAGTGATTTATAATTTAGAACAAATAAAAAAGAAAAACAAGCATATCTTTATGAGACGAAGAGAGTATTTAAAAATGAATTAATTTTTTTTACTAGAAAGAAGTTAACGCTCTTTCCGCCCTAAAGGCCAAAAAAATTCTCAAGTTTTCCCTATTATGAGTTTGCTGCAAAGGAGGGTGTCAAACCCCCTATGTAGGGATGGAAAAAAAGCTCATTGGCTCGAGGCGGCTCGGGCTCGGCTCGGAAAAAGCTCGAGTAGGGCCCGGCTCGAGCTCGGGCCGAGCCTCATTTTTGGCCGGGTTTTGCTCGGCTCGGGCTCAAAAAAACTCGAGTCGAGCCCGAACTTTTTTATTTAATTTATAGTACGTAAAAATTGTACAAGTTTTAAATTTTTTAAGTAAAAATGTAGATTTGACGTTAAAAAATAAAATTGAACAACTCGGTCTGGGCTTGGCTGGCCTGCTAAGACTCGGGCAGAACCTCATTTTTTTTGCCGAACTTTGCTCGACTCGGCTCGAGCCCATAAAATCTCGGTCTAACAAAGCTCGAGCTTTTTTTTTCGGCTCAACTAGTTGACAAAGCTACCCCCATGTCAGCTTAGCATAATTGTTTAAAAAAAGAAGGGAGGACTGTGTAAATGTTATAAGCATTTGAACTCATTAGTGATTTTTGGAAAAGTATATTGAAAAGTAAAAAAAAATTGTGAAAAAAAATATGTTGAAATAAATTTTAAAAAATGCATTTCAACGGGAAAAAAGAAAAAGGAAAAAAAATGAAGAGTCAGCATCGACGGCTGGAAGCCCGTCCAATCTCGTTACTTTATGTAGAACACCAAATGTAAACAGAACGAAAAAATTCAGAGAGAGAAACTCAACTTCTACATGCGAACCGATATTTCCCCCTAAGATAACCTTCCACAGAACCGAAAACCAATTGGAAGAATCGCCGTGCGGAGTTGCCCCAGATTCGCTCGCCCCGCCGCCGCCACCACATCAGGCTTTATATTGAGGAATGGAGGGAGTTGGGGCTAGGTTCGGGCGGTCCTCATCTAGATACGGCCCTGCCAGTGCCATCGTCTTCACGGGGCCAGTCCGTAAGTGGAAGAAAAAGTGGGTCAATGTGCCGCCCTCCAATTCCAACCAAACGGCAACAAACGGCATCATTAATGGCAGTAATGGCTCCTCCCACCTCTTGCTCTACAAGTGGACCCCGATTGCTCACAGCCAAAAGAAAGACAATAATGATACTAACAGCAGCGATAATAGTAACGGCAATGATGACACCAAGAATTCCAATATAGACGACTCCGTTGTTGTAGAGGAGCCGCCCAAGCGTAAATTCAAGTATATTCCGGTAATTTTCTGTCATTTCACTTCTTATGGACTTAGTTAACTTGATTTTTGGCTTTCCGTTGTATATAATGTCTTTAATCGGTCTGTTAAGTGTGGATTTCTTACCGTGGAAGGTTCAATTTAAGTGGGCTGTGGGTGTTATCACAATCTTCTGTACGGAGAATTGTGGTTTAGGGTTCTTGAACTAGATAAAAAGTGAACGGTGTTTTTGGGTTTTACTTTCATAAGGGATTTGAAAGAAATTGAAGATCTTTGACTGGAGTGTTTGGAGGGTTTGATCCCATGGTCTCTGGAGGAATTCTGATATCTGCTTGATTTAGTAATTTTGGGGATGAGCTGATTTTCTGGAGAGCCTGATTTAATTTTAAAATTTTTCAAGGGGAATGATTGGTGTTTCTAGATGCCCATATAGAGCTAATCTTAATGGCAAAAGAGAACATGGTGAATTGCACATATAGAGCAACATCAACGCTTACTTAATAGGCTATATTTATGTGGTAAGATATCCTTACCATTGGGTTTTGTGGGAGTTTCATGTCTGAGGATAGCCTTCATTGGAGAATCTTGTGCTTGAAATTTGAGAAAATTGACAGAATTATTAAATTTTCCAAAATGGTGCACTCATTTTACCATGTCTTCGCTCTGCCTATTCTCTACGCCTAGTTTTCAATATGGCACTGTGGTAGTGTTCAGCTAAGAACCTGTAGTTTGTTACTTTCTCTGCTAAGCATGCAAGGGCTGGATCACGAGGCCATTCTAATTACAAATGTTATAGGAAGATTCGTTGTTGGTTAATTGCTGTTCATTATGCACGAGGTCAGAAGATTTGTATGTATGGAAATGCAGTCGTGTAAACAGGACATGTCAATACCAAATATTATTGGAACTCCATCCCTGGTTTTTTTTGCCTGTCAATATGTTGTAAGGTCTGAGAGCTTTGTGTATGTGCTAAATAATATTATTCTCTTGGCTGATGCTCTTGATCTAAATGTACTTACCACACAACTGTGTTTATTTTGCATAGCTATTATGATGCCTTAGTGACGTAGGAACGCAACAATTTGACAACGAACAATAGAAAAAGGAACAAGAAAGAGAAATGGGATCCAAGAAGAGAAATTAGGCAAAGAGATAATCGATTATTCTTATATTCAGAGGTACCTATTAAGCTAAACTTAAAATAATTTATAATAAATTAGAACTTTATCGAATTATTAAAACTAACCTAATCTAACATAAACAAACCTATTTTGAATATTAAAATCCTATCTAAACTCTATATCTATCTCCCTCACTTAGTCAAATCTTATTTTATTTAAATGTAATGGGATTTCCATACATTGGTCAATGGTCATTAGCGGATTTGTCATGTCATCATGAGTAATTTGTGAGTTGGATTCTATTATTTTAAACTCTCTATCATCCAGAGAGGCAGTGAGAAGTAAAGCATGTGAATCCTGTAAGAGTATTTTGTGTATGCATTCCCACCCTACCCCACCCCCGCATCCCATAAATTTTGACAAACATTAAGGCACATATCATATATGTTTTAGCCGTTGGGAAATATTATGATCATTCATTGATTTGGATTAGATTTTGTGTGTTTGAAGGAATTGCAATTTTCTTGTAATTGATTTGATATTTTTACTATGGAATTATTTATGCAATTATCTCACCCATTTTAATTATTATTATACTCCAGTGTTCAACTAACTGGCTAACATATTAGTTTCTGGAATGATTGAAATAGATTGCCTTGCTGGTAGAACAAAAGAATGAGTCCTCAGAAGAGGTTGAGGATGAAGCTAAACCAATCGAGACTGACACATATACAGTGGATGGAACCTCCCAGACTGATGGCCTTGATGAAAAGCCTGACATTAACGATGTGCCAATGGATGAAAATCAGGTGATTTAAATTGCACTTGGCTTTTCGATTACTTAATGGATTTTTTTTTTTTTAGAATGACCATTGTTCTTCTAAGAGGAAAGATTCATCATAGAGGTCAACTTAGTGGTCTTGGGAGAAGAGTATCAGTTGAGAGTTGAATGGCTTCCATGTTGATGGATGCCCTTTGTCTAGATTCATCATAGGGGCCAACTTAGTGGTCTTGGGAGAAGAGTATCAGTTGAGGGTTGAATGGCTTCCATGTTGATGGATGCCATTTGTCTATTGTCTCCATTTTGAGCTCCTTTTTCTGCATATTGACGTCATTGATCTTTTGGCTTCCACGTCTTTATATCTGTAGATAAGCTGCTGTATTAGTTTGGGATGTGTGTTGTATTTAAACTCTTCAATTGTGCTCCTATATCAGGGCCTCCAGAATAATCCCGTCGAACGGCAAGATCTGAATGAAAGCACTCTGGACTTGAGTTTGGGTTAGAAGGCTCTTGATGGTCAAAGTGAATCCAACTTAAAAGGCAGAGAAAATTAAAGACGTGATTGAAAAGTGTCAATTCCAGCAACACTGGCGAGTTCTATAGCAGTCTCAAAGACCCTCTATTTTTTCTTTGGCTTTTCATGCAGCGGGTTACTTAAAAAGTTAAAAAATTCAACCTGCTTATGCTTGTAACTTTAGCTTCATTGACCCCCTTGTCGAGGCAATTGCAATCTATACCCTTTTTTCTATGAGGTACCATTTTTTTTAAATTCTAATTTCCAGATTGTAGTTGAATTTTTTTCATATTGGATATTGTGGAATGACATTTGGAACTTGGTGCATAGGTTTCTCTTATTTACATAAACATTGTTGGATGTTGTGTATTCATTCATAACTTGGTGTTAGACACTATCAGTTTTTTCTTCCTGATAATTTGGAAAAAAGATGCACCCACAGATAAATATATTTCAAATTGGACCATGCTATGTGTACATAATAGTGTACACACGGCCTTACACCCCCTCATATGGAGGGAGGTCCACACACAATAAAATATGTGTGGACCCCTCTCTATGTGAGAGGGGTGTAGAGGGGTGTAAAGCTGTGTAACACATAGCATTTTTCTTTCAAATTATGGCACAAACGCATGTTACTTATCCATTCCTTATACAACCATCCTACTGATGGCAATGGGGCGGGTTCGGTTCGGGGCGAGGCACCCTCACCTCACCCAGCCCCACCTCGCGCCCCACCCCATCTTAGACGGGGCGGGTACGAAAAAAAAAATGTCCAAAACAAATAATGTCCAAAACAATTTTTTTTTTAATTCTTCACGGGGCGGGTTTGGGGCGCGACGGGGCTGCGAACCTCTCCCCGCCCCATCTTGCCAACCCGTTCAGTGCGGGTTTTTTTGCCCCACAGGGACAGGACGGGGCGGGGCGGGGCGGAAAAAATTGCCATCTCTAAACCATCACTCTTAAATATTCCTTCCTTGTTGTGTAAGGATTTTAGGAGTGATTGATGGATAGCTTATGGAATTTCTTCTCATGTTTCTCCTACGCATATTTGGGTCTAATTAAGATGTTTTGCCACAATATTTTGTTTTGTTGCTTTTTATTTATTTAGAAACCTGCTACACTTACAGTCATTAGTGGACTGTAATTTTTACAGCCCACTTTAATTAGTGTGGTGCCCACTTTTTGTATGTACCATTTTTGAAATCCACTTCAAAAATCACTTTTATGATGATATTTGATTGAAAAATAGTATGCTTTTGCATTCATTTATAAAATAAATCTTGCAAACTTTATAAAAAATCAAGATTAATGCTTTTCATAGCAAGCGACTGCAATAATCTTAAGAGTAATGTTATTCATAATGAGCAATTGTTGTGAACTTGTTATTTGGGACATTAGCTTAATTGTAATCATAGCTTGTTATTGGAGACATTAGCTTATTATTAGAAGTAATAGAATTATATAAAATTAATGTTTTAAATAATAAATTGAAACATATGATGACTACTGTGTTCACTTACTATGAATAGTATTGACTATTGTGTCAAATACACGTGAGAGCTGGTCAACAAGAAATCATCTAAGTGCAAAGTCATCTGAAAATGTAATTAATCCCCAAGTATGTTTATTTTTCAGGTTTTATAAGCGAATTTACGGACTCGTAGATGAACTTTCACGCCTTTTACTTAAAGTCGCGTTTTATAACGGAAGGCGGATCGCATTAAACGCCGCCGATGAAGAATGAAGTCCGCCATATCGTTGGCGAAGCCGATAGGGTTGATTGCGGTCAGCTTTGGTATAACCATTTCTTTCGTCCTACTCTCTCAACCAAACCTATCTCCAAAGCCCGATCTCATGGCCCGAAGCTTCGTGTTGTGGCTCCATGGGCTCGGTGATTCAGGCCCTGCCAACGAACCCATTAAGACTCTCTTCACCTCCCCGGAATTCAACGACACCAAATGGTCATTCCCTTCTGCCCCTTCTAACCCAGTCACCTGTAATTGTGAGTTGGATTTACATACACGAGCTGTATTCACAAAAAAATATGCTTGTTCGTAGTGTGAATGTCCGTGTGAATTTTTGTAAATAAGTTTAGTAAAATTGTTAATGTCAGAGGTTGCTTTATTAAACTATAATTTTTGTGATGTTTTGTGTGTTACTGGTTATAAGAAATTTGCATTTAGAGTTATATTTTGAATTATACCAAGTTATAGGACACAATTTTGTTGGTGAATCATGAGAACAATCGATTTATACAGGCGTAATAGGAATTTCCTGTTGTTCATTTCGTCGGCATGGTATATAGATCAATGAGGTCATTTCTTTCAAGTATCAATGTATTCGAAAATATATGTTATTTTTTATATTATAATTTGGATTTAATTTACATTGTTTAGATTTAACGAGAAATTATTTGAATTATTATAGAAATTTGGCGGCCACAAAAATGATGTTGATGTCTAATTTCGTGTAGAGATGAAATAATGTGATGTATGCGTGTTAATTAAGTCGATACTTTGAGCTACTATGTTCGGTATCCCAGTTTGTACGTATAGGCTACTATTATCACGTCGAGCATTACGATGTTCGTACTTTTGAATACCTGTATATGGATCAATTCCCAGGTGAGCCATAGTTTGTTTACTTAGTTTGAAGTACATAAATTAGGTGTGTTACTTTCCGTTTGCAATACAAAATAAGATAGACTGTAGGGTTTTGAGTTTACCATAACATTTTGTAAACCCCCACCCCTCCTTGTTCTATGAAATCTGGGCTTATATGCAGTATGCTGTAAATTGTTGTTACTACCTCGATTTCGAACTTAATGTGCCTGCTGCACGAAAAATGCGATTTTCCAACAGGTGTCGACACTGGACAGTCATTTGACGATGAAAATGTTTTTGCAGGTCATATGTCGACACTTCAACCCACGAGTGTTGACACTTGGCTTCTTTTGAACTAAAGGTTTTATTTTAAACTGTAAGGTGTCTACCCCCCAGTTCCCCGTGGGTCGAAACTTGCGTATAAAATGAAGAATTTTTTTTTTTTTGGCATGCCTCCTTTCACTTATTTCATCGCTTTGAATCTTGTATAATGTAAGTAGATTAGTAAACCCCTGTAATATGATATTTTCATTATAATTAAATGGAAAGTTTCGAGCGTGCTACATGCAGTACTTAAAACCCAGCTTTTCGTTTTTGCTTGGTACCTAAAAATTTGCTTACCAACTTTCGAGATGAAATGATTTGAGATGCATCTTGGGGAAATTAATTCTCTTAAGGCAGACTGTCTTTGATGGAATCACCTTGGTTTTAAACTTATCTGCTATTAAACTTATGTTCATCCCATGCATCGCTTCTGTTATTTGCTAATTTAGATTTTCTTGTAGATGGTGCTATCATGCCTTCGTGGTTTGACATTCATGAGATACCTGTGACAGCTGTAAGTTATACTTCATTTGATTTGTTCATTTATGAATATTTCCCATCATATTATATTTTTAAATGCTTATTTGAGATGTTTTATAGCTCTATATTATATTTTTATTTGCTTATTTGAGATGTTTTATAGCTCTATTGTGGTGCTGGATAAGTTGTACTATTTTCACTTTGTGTAAGCAACTGTAATTGACTTCAGCCAAACCACTTTGAAATGAAATGAAGATGGCGAGGAACTTAAAACTAGTGTACTAATACAATGGAGCATACGTACGTACGTACGTACATACATACATACATGCATGACTAATTTTTTAATTTTGATAGCATACTTAATTATTTGATTCTGTTCAATCCTGAGACCTCTAGTGCTTATCTTCAAGATGTTATGGGCTAGCAAATACCCATTACATCATGCATAAGGTCACTGCTAATAGATGATTTCCTGTATTACATGTTGATTAAATGTCATAAATTATTATCACATCTTAGGATTCTCCAAAAGATGAAGGTGGTGTGCTCAAAGCTGTTCAAAATGTTCACGCAATGATAGACAGAGAGATATCTGCTGGCACCAATCCTAAAAATGTCTTCGTGTGTGGATTTAGTCAAGGAGGTCTCTCTCTCTCTCTCTCCCTCCCTCCCTCTCTGTCTGTGTTTTTGTGTTCGTGCATACTCGTTCCCCCCACCCCAATTACCTAATGCAAATGGAAATGAGTTTCCTTGGTGATTGTACTGATATCTGTGAAGTTATGTAGGTGCCTTGACATTAGCAAGTGTTCTGCTGTATCCGAAAACTCTGGGTGGCGGTGCAGTGTTTAGTGGATGGGTTCCATTTAATTCTTCCATTCTAGAGAGAGTGACACCGGATGCAAAAAAGGTTATTTCTTACTATACTTAAAATGTCTTCCATTTTTTTCCCCTGAACTATAACTTCTTTCTGTTTGATGTTACAGTTTGACGCATGTCAGTATGATGGCATGTTGGTTCTATATGTGGATGGTTTAATTTGGATAGCTCTCTAGTAACTTGTTCAGTATTTTACATAGGACCCCTCGCATTCTGGAGTCTCTTTGAACTCCAAGTATGCCATAAAGAGCCAACCTCGTTACGTTTACCAGAGGCTCGGTAACCGTAAAGGCCATTATATAATAGGAAGAAAACTATTTACCTGTCAAGCATTGATAGGACGAAAATTCGAAGTTTTGTGGATGGAGAGTGTTGTTGGGTATTTCTGGTCAATAAAGTTCCTTTAAAGTTTGCAATCAAGATTTTAAATAAGGATGCTACTAATATCCTGCATCAGGGGCTCTACGTCTTTTGGAGATGCATATGAAATGTATGATATAATCTATGTTATTCCCAGCTTACTAGATTCAAAAAGGTAACTATTTACTGGTCAAGCATTGGTGGGAAGAAATACAAAGTTATGTGGATGGAGAGTGTCGTTGGGTATTTCTTGTCTATAAAGTTACTTTGAAGTTTGCAGTCAAGATATTAAATAAGGATGCTACTAATCTCCTGCATCAGGGGCTCGACATCTGTTAGAGATGCGTATGAAATGCATGATAAATCTATATTAGTGCCAGCTTCCAATTTTTGAAATTATTAGATTATGATGGAACCAATACAGACCATATGTAACTTCATTTGAATATTTACGAGAGATGCCTTTTTTGTCTTCTCAGGACTTGGTTGAAAAATTCTGTCTTCTGCCCTCTAATGTTGTCGTCTACAGTCTTTTCGAAAGCTTTAATTTCATTGTTAATCTAGAGATGCATTTACATTGTTTTGAAGTTATTTTCTTGTATCAAGGATCTGATATTCGGAAATATGTTTGTAGACACCTATATTTTGGTCTCACGGAATGGCTGACAGCACTGTGCTTTTTGAAGCTGGACAAGTAGGTCCACCCTTCCTAGAAAAAGCTGGTCTGAGCTGTGAATTTAAGGTACTAATTCAAAAACTCTGCACCCTTGGCGTTTGATTTCATGTTATTATAAATATATTTCGATCCCTTTTATTTCTTTCACCATATCAAACACGCTTATCAAGGAAATGGCTGGTTTTCACTTTTCTCAGGCTTACCCGGGTCTTGGTCATTCAATAAGTAATGAAGAGCTTCGTTCTTTAGAATCATGGATCAAATCCCGTCTTCAGAGTTCATCCTAAAGGTCTGACAGTCTCAAAAAGCCTATCAGTCTTGTGTCTAAAAACGCTTAAATTGTGTTGTGCCATAACATACTGATGTTTCTCGTTAGCATTTACATTTTATGACTCTATTATCTTACCAGTGCTATGATCAAATATGCATTCATTGCTTTCGAACCTCTAAATTTTAGTGTTAGCAAATTTGTTTTAGCACCGCGTTGTACTGTTGATGTGGCCATGACATCGAGTCACGGGTCCAATTTGGTGCTTTTTTTTTCATGATTTCTCACATCAACTTTATCATTACTCACTTTTTTTTAACATTGAGATGAAGATCCGGGACAGTTGGGTCTACTAATAAATAAGTACCGTAAAATCCGTTTACATCATTTACTATATATATTCTTTTCAGGAGGTACGGGAAATAAGCAAATATAAAACACACCAAAAGGAAGACTCGATCATTGAATCATTTTTTTTTTTCTAAATGACATTACTATTCCACAAATGAATACTGAGAATGGTAAGTTGGATATTGTTGGGCTTTATAGATTCTAGAATGGTAAAATTACACAAAATCATACTTTTCAAAATCAATATTCAAAAATTAGGTTGAAAGTTTCATTATACAAAAATTAGATATTTATTTAATTATTATAAATTAATTTCTATACACAACCCCCACCCTATCTACCCATCTAAACCCTAAAACCAATTTAAAACATAAATCTCTCTCTCTCTCACTCTCTCTCTCTCTCTTCACTCTTCTCCTCTCCCTTCTCCAGGCGCTGTCAGGCGGGAAACCACCTCCACACCGTACCTAGCATCGGCGATCGAGGCGGCGATAGGCACATCGTCGGCGACAGGCGTGCACGACAGCAAGCGCGATCTCTCTATCGCTCTAGTAGACCGCTGCGCGATGACTCCCTGCGCAATGTTGTGAACTCTGTCTTTCGCAACGCCTTCCAACGGCAGTGGCGAGACTGCTGCAAACTCAGAGCAACGTTGTCCGGTGGTGCACCTACCATTGTTGCAGAAAAATATGGGGAGGGGTTTGGGTATTTTAGTCGTCGACGGAAGAGAAAATTTGGGGAAGGAGTTTGGGGTATTTTAGGGTGATTTTGTTCTCCTCTGAATTGATCTGCTTAGCCGGAGTCACTGTGTAGAGGCCTCATCTCTGCTGGAGTGGAGAAATCTAGTGACGGTTTTGGTGTTGTATTAGTGTTGATGGTGGTGTTGGTGGTTGTGTTGTGTTGGGTTGGTGGTTGTTTTGTTTTTGTTTCTATTTCAACTTGTGAGGTGGTGGCGGCGGTGGTGAGGTGGTGGTGTTGTGATGGTGAGATGGTGAAGGCGATTGTAAGATGGTTACAAATCTGACAGCTAATGGTGGTGGTCATTTTTGTTGGTGGATATGGTTTTTTTGGAGACGGTGGTGGTGGATCTTAGTGACGGTGGTGGTGGTGGTTCAGTGCAACGACATGGTGTTGTTTTTCGCGATGTGTTGATTTGTTTGAGGTGGCGGTGTTGCTGTCGCGAGGTGGTGGTTTTGGCGGCGACGGTGGCAGTGATGCTGCTGGGAGGGAGTGGCGATGTGGTGGTCATAAGCGTTGGTTGTGGTCACAAATCATTTGGTTGACTGTGACCGTTAAATTGGTTAATCTATAAACAATAAATAATATGTGACCAATAAATTGGTTATGGTGGTGGTGTGTTTCTGTGGCGGCGGAGGCGGAGGCGGAGACGACGGTGGTATTGTGTTGGTGGTGGTCACAAATGTTTTGTTGATTGTGACCAATAAATTGGTTGGTATGTGACCAATAAAGAATAAATTGTGACTAATAAATACTGTGTAATCTACAAATTTAGCCCCTGTTTGACATCCATTATCATCTCATTTTCATTCTCATTTTTTTCTCTTTCTTAATTTCAACCACACATTTTACCAATAAAATAATATTACACACAAATCTAAAATTTTTCATAACTTTTCCACCACACATTCTCTCATCAATCACTATTCCAAAAATTTTTTACTCCAAAAAATGGGTGTCAAACACCCCCTTATTAAGTTGTGACCAATAAAGGTAATATGTGACCATAAAATAAATTGTGTGACTTATAAATGTTGTGATTTGTGTCCGATGAACAAATTTTGATTTTTAAAATTTTTATTTGTGACCGATAAACGAAATGTGACCTATAAAAATTTTCAATTGTGACCTTAAAATTTTTGAATTGTTACTAAATTACATAGATCTATGACATTTATATATTTATTAATAAAATATATAATTAACTAATTAATTCATAAATAATTTTAATGAAAACCCGATTTTTGAAATTTAAAATCTCAAACCTTAATTTTGAAATGGCGATACTTAAAAACCTGATTTATGTATTATTCCCTTCTAGAATAATTTGGTCATGTCCCAAACTTTGAAGCTATTTTTCTTGAAAACTAAAGAGAGCCCCGAAAGGAAGACACGGGAATCAGATTTGTTGTACAATCCATCTCTAATGAATAATGTTAGGGAAAATTAGGCTGTGTATCCTATTAAAATAAGTCTTTTGATTAATACATTTTAAACTAATTAAATATTTTAATCAAGTAATAATTATGTCATAATCTAAACTAAACTCCAACCCCCCTTAGTAAAACCCTGAAACCCACTCCTCTCATTCCAGAAACCCTCTCATTCCTAGAAATCACTCCTCGGCGATTTTTCATTTTCAAGAAAACTCCATATATTTTTGCCTGGTGCTAGTGGTGGATATAAAGCTGGTGCTGGTGAAGGATTGGGAGGAGGTGCAGATGGAGATGGTGGATTTGGTGGTGGTGGACGGGGTTTTTACTTGTTCCAGCAATTTGTATGAACTGAAAAGCATTCTTTACGATAGATTCATTCCATAACCAGAAAAAACATAATACTCGATCCTTCAATTCATTTAATTAACACTATGAATTTCTTCAAATCCATTCTGTCAGAGGATTCAGATCCTTCAAAACACGAAAACCCCCATGACCCGAAATTCGAATCCCCACTGTAGAGAAATAAGGATCCAGATGATGTCGGTTAGGATCCAGTTCACATAGACCCGCCACCCAAAAGCCCTTCTGATTTATCTAGTGATGGTGGCATTGGTGGCGGTAGGTGGAGTTTTGGGGTTTGATCAAGACTTTTATGACCCAATTCAAGTCGGTGCTGGAGACATACAGGCGGGATCTTAGGGAATTCAGATCAGGTCTTAGGAAGGAGTCGGAGGTCATCCGAGAAGTCGCCACCACGTTGTGAAGGACATTGTGTCACTTTTTTTAAGTTTTTGTTACTTTTTAAGAAGATAAAAAAAGTGAAATAATATGTTATATTTTCCTAACATAATCAGCATGTCGATTGGTCTGAACGTGCTGATTATTTTAAGAACATGATTACTTGTGCTGAACAAATGGATGGTGCTATTTTGGTATTTGTCATTATTTTGAGTTTGTATCACTGTTTTTTAGTTTTGTCACTTTTTTTAAAAAAAGTAAAAAATTGACAATTTTTATAAAAAAAAGTGAAATTGTGTCACTTTTTCATTTTACACAGTATTTTTTACTTCCTAAAAACCTTTCATATGATTTTTCAAAACATCCCTAATTTTAAGGGTATTTGTAAGTACTCGTGGTAGAGTACTAGTTTAGGTGATCTTGATAAATTTAATTAAATAAATCGTGTGATATTACATTTAAGTGAATCAATATTTATTATTTTATGTCATGCAATCGTCGTCAACTCATTTTAGCCAATCAGTTTGCATCGTTTTTTGATTGTATTGTCCACCAATGATCCTAGTAAAATGCTCTGCGTCGCATGCGAACGCCTCCCCATTGCCAAAAAATGCGTCACCAATTTCTATCTATGGGGAATTAGTTCTGTTAGCCAACTCTCAATATGTTTTTGTCCAAAAGGCCTTTGACCAGATTCTTCAAAAGAAAATGAAATCTAATTATTTAAAAGTGTTAAAATACAACTTTACCCTTCTTTTGTAAAGGAAATTTTAAAGAAATTTTTAAAGATTCAAGGTTTTGAACATTCAATCTCTATGGAAAAAAATGCTCCCCACACCACTAGGATATTGAACAATATCATTTATTTATTACAATAACCTATATATAAATCTTGACAAATTATATTCAAATTTACAAGGTTCAAGGATTTGAACCTTCAACCTTTATAAAAAAGTTTATTAAAATGTTTTGCTCACCACTAGTACATTGAACAATATTGTTTATTTCATTACAATAACCTATATATATCTTGAAAAATTATAGTCAAATTTTCAATGTTTAGGTATTTGAACCTTCAACCTCTAAGAAAAATTATATTTCCTTCACTACTAAGACATTGAACAATATTGTTTATTTTAATACAATAGCATATATATAACCTTATAATTCTGAATATCTTGAAAAATTATATTTAAATATTTCACTTTATTTTATATATGTATTATGTATTAAAAGATTAATTTTTATAAAGATGAATTGAATATCTACAAAATTTATGATTTTGAAATATATAAATAATTAATGACAATTAACTTAAAATCATTAATTTTATTTCAAATAATTATTTTTATATTTTGAAGTAATCATCCACCGGTCCAACCATTAAATTTTTTATTTTTTTTACCTTCATCCCCCACGTAAACTTTTTACGGTATGCAATATATACTTTTTATATACCTTAAAACGTATAATTGTCGTTTTATATACCCTAAAATGATATATATGTCATTTTAATTAAGATTAAAATTGAAATGATATCAATGTCGCCAAAATTGTACGGAAATGATAATGACATCGTTATGTGTCAAATTCATGAAATAACATAACAACTTTCATATCGTTTTAGTATAAATTTGACGAGTTCGAAATTGTTCCAATTCAAATCATAACTACAACGACATAGATATTGTTTCTTTGCATAGAAAACGATAATTATATCGTACTGGCTAAAACAACGATTCGACCATCGATT